TCTTTCCTTTTCTTTTTTTCAAATATAAAACTATTTTGTTTTATTGAAAAAAAAGTGATTGTTGAAATGAGTCAACAAAAAATTTGTAATCATTAATGATTACAAATTTAATTTCGAATTGTAAATTTTTTCTCAGATAATTATTTCATTGCAAATGATTGCATTGATACGGCTCATTATTATTTTAAAGGAAATATGACATTTTTAATCTTTTAAATTTTAATTTATACTAGAAACATGTTCAAATTTAATGACATATTTAAGTTATCTATGATAAATGTATAAATTACGCATCTTTTTGAAAGAAAAAAAGCAAGTTTCTAATTTGACGAAAATGAAATTTTTATAATAAATTTTTGAATTTTATAAAAAATGAAACAAAAATTCAACTTACTGTTATAATCATCGAATGTTTCATTTAACAAACTTCTATCAAACTTTGTTTTCGATATCAGTGCTGCTGTTGTCGTTGCTGTTATTGCTAACAATGGTGATGGTGATGATACTGATGCTAATGTTGTTACTGCTAACAATGATGATGGTGATGGTACTGTTGCTAATGTTGTTGTTATTGCTAACAATGATGATGATGATGATGATGATACTGATGCTAATGTTGTTGTTATTGCTAACAACGATGATGATGAGGATGATGACGATGATGATAATACTGATGCTGCTGTTGTTGATGCTATTGTTGTCGTTGTTGTTGTTCTTGTTATTGTTGCAGCTGTTGTTGCTGTTGTTGTTATTGCTATCCAAATATTGATGGGATCGAGACTTTTGAACATTATCTGTAAATTTTTGATAATATTTGTATAAAATAAAAATATTATTGATATTTGATAGCGAAATTATTTTCATCTTTTCTAATTTGCAAAAATTTTGCTAAAACAGCTCAGTTTTATTTAAAAATTTGAATATCATCTTGAATTTAGAAATCAATTGTAATTATTAATTTGTCAAGGATTTAATCTGTATACTTGAATTTGTTATTAAATTTCTATAACTATGCAAATTTTATTTAAAATTCAAAACTAGGCATAATTTTCAAGCTTATAAAATATATATCTTTGTAAGAAAATTTTTTAATTTTGGTTTAATTTCTTTACCTTTCTTATTCCTGTTTTCTCTTTTTTTTTTCATTTCCAATAAAATTCTTATTTCTGTTTTCTTTCTTTTTCATTTCCAATAAAATTCTTATTTCTGTTTTCTTTCTCTTTCATTTCCAATAAAATTCTTATTTCTGTTTTCTTTCTCTTTCATTTCCAATAAAATTACGAATTTTTTGCACAAAAACAAAAGTTAAAAAAGTAAAATTTGAATTAGTATGAAAATTTTTACTTTTTTCCTGTCCTTTAATTTGTATAAACGAAAGACACATGATTTTTAAACTTTGAGGACTAAAAAAACATTTTTTTTAGATTTTCATTTCAAACAATCAAAGTTTGTTTTTGCTAAATTTTAAGCAGCCAAAGTTTGCTTTCGCCAAAAAAAAGTAATAATAATTTCACATTTTGTGAAGGAAAAAATTTAAGAGGAAAAGATTTGAATAAATAATAAATATTTAAATAACTTTTTTCGTTTTTTTAATACTAATTATCACTTCGTTTCCGTTTTGTTTTTGTAATATTTCGACAATCTAATTAACAGTAATTATTGCAGCGTAAAATAATATTCAATTATTAATTAAAAACTATTGAATAATCGAAATTTTAGTACTGAATGCAAAATGGTCTTTGGATTACTTTTAAAAGGATGTTTTTTCACTTTTTTTCGTTATTTTTTTTTTTTTTTTTTTGTTTTTTCCATTAACTTTGATAAATTAATTCAGGAAGCAATTTAATTAGTTTGCTTACGACATATTTATCATTTATATGATAATTTTACTAAATTGATTTCTAAAATGATTCCTTAATTTACTAATTTCATGAAAAATTAATATTTAAAAGATTTTCCACTTTTTCTTCTTTTTCTTTGAAATATTAGAAAAAAAGAAAAAAAGGGAAGGCAATCATTTTTTTTTTTATAAGTTACTTATTTTTTTTAGATAAATTTAACAATCGGAAAGTAACAAAATTCAATTGTGCACACTTTTTTGAAATGAGTAAACAATTAAAATGTAATTGGAAAAAAACCAAAAAACAAAAAGAAAAGACGATAAGAACGCAGGAATGGATTTCAGAACTGTAAAAAAGAGAAGTTGGTACGATAAGAAATGATAAAAATGATTAAAAAAAAAGAAAAAAAAAAGTGATAATTTAGTATACACTATAAAAATTTTATGAAATAATACATGGATACACATGTACATATATTTTAATAATTTCAAAAAAATTTTTACAATTTTTTTTTAATTGGAAGGAAAAAAGAAACAGGTTTATTCCATTTTTTTCGTTTGTTGTATGTTAACTTTTTGATAAAAATTAATCGGTAAAAATATGCATTTGTAAAATTGTTTTCTTATCGATGTGTAAATGCACATAAATTTTATGAATAAATTTCCATTTTAATTTTAAATCATAAAGCATTCCTTTTCCTTAGTTTTACTGTGGAACCTGAAATTGTCCAAACTATCACTTATATGAAATTTCAAAATTATTCAACAAAATTTTGAAATTGAAATTTTTGCAAAAACCGAAATGTAGTAGACGCCACATAAACATTTAACCTTTCCTTTTTTTTTTTAATTATCATTTGATACATTTGTAAAAAATTTCAATTCTTTGCAAATAATTTTAAAAAAAGTAAAAAGTAGTTCATAATTTAACATCCCCTTGTTATTACAAAATGATATGTTGTTCAAAAAAAAGGAGAAAGTTGAAAAAAATTAATTTGAGAAAAATGATTGATAAGGGCATGAAATATGATGATAACAGTGATAAGAGAAGGAAAAAAAAATCTTTGTTTCCCCTATTTTATTTTATTTCTTACACTTTTACACTTTCTCGTTTGTCATTCATTTTTTTTTTCCAAATATTTTATTTGTCTTGTTTTATCAATTTCTTTTTTTCATTCTTCATCCAAAATCATATAGGATATGATTTACGAAATGTTTAAACATGATTTACACAAATGTTTAAATTAAATTAAATCAAATTAAACTACAAATCGAAATAAAGTATATCACTATTTCTTTTCCATTTATTATTTCCATTTTTTTTATCCATTATTTATTATTATTTTTTTTATTTCATTATTTCTTTTCCATTTAAATTAATATTTTTTTACAAATTTTTTCATTTTTTCTTTTACGAAAAACTAAAAAATTTTTAAAACTATTAAAACAAACAACTTTTTACATAATATTCAATAAAAAAGCCGAAATCATTGAAATGTAATTACTGTATTTGCTAAATTATTAATTTCAAAAAAGAAAAAAAAAACTAACATGCCAGTAAAGAAATGAATTATTTCATACTTTTACAAAATGAATGAAATTGAAAATTTTGTTTGCATTTCACATTTTTCATTATCTTATATTACAACAATTTTTACACAAAATTTACAACAAAAATATTAAAATATTATAAAAACTTCGTTTTTGAATAAAAATTACACAAACATAGAAAATTAATAATACAGAATATTTTTTTTTTTAAATAATATTACTAAGATAAGATAAGATAAGTGAAGAAAATAAAACGACTGATTTTGATAATATTAGTAACTGATAACAACTGATATTGCTATAATAATTGATATTGCTTTTCTTGCCTTCTTTTTTTTTTCACTGCCTATCTTTTCTATTGGTTGCTTTTTTTTAAATTTAATTTAATTTTTTTTTAAATTTAATTTAAATTTAATTTAATTTTATTTTTTCTTTCGCTTATCTAAACAATTGAATGAAAAATAAAAAAGTTCTTTTTTTTTAATTTTAAATTTTGTATAAATGGTTTATTTAGCTCATAAAGTAAAACTCCATTTAACCAAAATGTCCCTTTAAGCCAAATGCGCATAAATAAATTTCAAATTGAAATATGGTACTAGCAAATAGTAAATACATTGAATATACGAAAATATCTCTCATTCATTCTTCTATATGATGAATGAGGAATGAACAATAGAAATGAAATAATGGACGGAAATGAAAAAAGAAAAAAAATTTAAATCGAGGAAAAAAACTCAGTAATGAATAGCAATTTTCTACAAAAAAAAAAAAAAAGGAAAAATGATGAAATTTTATAAATGTATTACTCAAAAACGTACAAAGAAAAAAGGTTAATATATACAATGCAAATGGAAATAAAAAATGAATTTAAAATTAAATAAATAAATAGGAAAATAATGATTGTATTGTACATATCATTGAAAAATATCCATTTTTTTCTTTTTTTTTTGTTATTCTGATAAAGACATTTTCGAATTTTTCTTTTTTTTTTAAAACAAAATATGAAAAGTTAATAAATTTCGAAATTAAAATTAGCTTATTGTTGAAATCGTAATTTTAGAATGCTACGAAAAATTTATTTTCGTCTATTCACATTTAAATGAAATTTGAAATTAACTTACAAATAAAATTTAGAAAATTGTCACCTTTCTTGGTTTAAGCTTGCTTTAAGACAATTGTCAATTTTTGCTTATTGTTATTTGTTCTTAAATAAATGCAAATAGAAATTATGCTTCCTAATTTTGATGTGAAATGCAGAATTAATTAATAGATAAATTAAATGATAAATAGAATAAATTAATTAGGATTATTCCATTATTCTAATTTTTTGGAACAGATATCAAACATTTTTAAAATAAGGGAAAAAATGAGTAAAGAAAAAGTAAATAATATCTAAGAGGAAGGGAAATTGTGTGAGAAGTGATAAAATTGACGTATTTTTTGGGTAATTAATTTTAAGTAATAATTACGACGCTTAATTGCTTTCATTCCTGGAAATAACAATTGCTAAATTATCATATGATATTATAAAAATAACAATAACATGCCATTTTTTTATTGAAAAATAAAAGGTATAACGAAAAACGATGAAAAATGAAATTGAATTTAAATTTATGTTTGAATTTGAATTAATGAATGATAAAAAAGTAGACAATAAACAAGACTGATCCATAATCATTTAAGTTCATTTATCCGAAGCAAAAAAAAACGACTTAGATCAGGAAATGTATCTGATAGGAAAAAAAAAAAATAGACGACTTAAATCAGGAAACACAAACAAATAATAGTTATACCATATCTTTTTATTAGTTTTAATGGAAGTTGATCAATCATCTTCATTAATGAAAGCATATTCTCAGTAAATTTCTAACAAAGTTACCATGGCTACTTCAATGCTATTTTAATAAGCATAATTACAGTTAATTGTAATTATCATTTTTATGTTGTGCATTATGGAAGAAAATTAAATTTGATAAAATTTACTTTCACTACCATTACAAAATTATTCACGCATACTTTTTCTCATTTTAAATGAAACAATTTTTGCTAGTTTTTAGGAATTCAAAAATTTTTCCCAAAAATATATAATTTAAAGTAAAGAAAAAAAAAAGGAAAAAAAGGAAAAAGGCAAAACGAGGAATAATTGAATTTTTAACAATATTTTTATAATAAAAATTTTTGAATTTATTAAATTTTAATCAAAAATATTACCAGTTAAGTAAATGCTTATGCAAAAAGTTGAAAATATCAAATGTTTATATAAAAATGCAAGTAAACGATTTTTTATAAAACAAAGAAAAAGGAAAAAAAAAAAATAGGTGACAAATTGAGTGATCATAACAAATATGGCCTAAATTAATTGGATTTACATTTTTTATTAATAACAAAATTTCTTGCCAT